CCTGGTGGCATGAGCCTATAATCCCAGCTACTTAGGAGGCTGAGGCAGGAGAATCGCTTGAACCCGGGAGGTGGAGGTTGCAGTGAGCCGAGATTGTAGTACTGCACTCCAGCCGGGCGACAGAGTGAGACTCCGTCTCAAAACAAAAAGCATTCTTCTGAGAAGGGGATCATGAAGCTAACAAAATCCACAGGATAAAGAATGCTTAAGAAACTCTGCTTTAGGAACAACCATTTCTGAGGATCATTTTATGCTCCCCTTAACCCCAGACCAGTGTCTCCCAAATCAAGACAATAAGAATCACTTGAGGGACTTATTACTCTGAGTGAGGCCTAAGAATCATTTTGTTTAACAGGAGCATCTGGAGGTTTAAGAAATGCTGCCTTATAATCAATAAATTTGGGGAATGCTGCCCTAGGCTGTGTCTTTTGAAATCAATAGACAAGTTCAGTACCTGGGGACACTTTCCTGCTTACTCAACTTCTGTGTTGCCACAGGAAGTTAGTTACATTCATTAGCAAGTAAGAGTAACACCACCTGGTTTCTGTATAATTCTGAAGTGAGTTATTCATTAGAATGCAGGAGAAAGAATCGTGTCTCTAAAAAGCCTCAATCAATCTGATTTTTTTTCACTTTTTTTTTTTTTTTTTTTTTTTTGAGACTGAGTCTTGCTCTATCACCCAGGCTGGAGTGCAGTAGCATGATCTCGGCTCACTGCAACCTCCGCCTCCCAGGTTCAAGCAATTCTCATGCCTCAGCTTCCCAAGTAGGTAGGATAACAGGTGCCCACCACCACACCCAGCTAATTTTTGTATTTTTGGTAGGGACGGGGGTTTCACCGTGTTGCCCAGGCTGGTGTCGAACTCTTGACCTCAAGTGATCCACCCACCTCTACCTCCCAAAGGGCTGGGATTACAGGCATGAGCCACCATGCCCGGCCTTTTTTCACTTTTATCTGTTTTAATTTCAAAAATCATTTTGCCTTTCATAATCCTCCAACACTTCGTACCTATCTCACCTTCGGTGCCTATCACATTGCCTCATAGCTGTTTTTTAAGTACCTATCTCCTGGGCCCTCAGTTCACCCATACCCATTCACACATTACTTCTGGTAATAGGCACACATTGTATTCTGAGATCCTGGGAACAAAAACATTTGTTTGTTTCAATACATCCGTCCAAGCAAAGTATCAGACACATCATGGGCACTCATTAGACCATGGCTATAGGGATAATGGATGGACACACACGAACTCCTCTACCTCCTATGATACTAGAATGGAGTTAAATTGTACACATCTCAGAAGTGCAAGCCACTAACCTTCGGAGGCAGGAAGAGTAATGGTTAATATAAAGGGGTTGAAATTCTAGCTCCTTTTACAAGCTATGTGTCCTTAGGTAAATTACTCAACCATTCCAGGTCTCCATTTCTTTATCTATAAGTTAGAAATCACATTTACCTCTTCAGGTTGCGATGAGAAAATGTGTGAGAGTTACTAGCATATTCTTGGCACCTAGATGCACTTTATTGATCCCTTACTATTAGTTGCTTGATGTGGAGGATGCCAATAGAAAAAAAAAAAAATCATTACAAGTCCCACCAATTAGAGACTAATTTTAATGTGTAAGCTCCAGGGAAGGCTAAGTGATGGCACCTTAGTGGGAATTATTTTAATCAGCTAATCAGATTGTTTTCTTCTTGACTCTTAGCTGAAATCAAGGAGGGAATGAGAATTTTGATGGTAGAATCAGAAGATGGGAAAAGAGGATAGCCAGAATGGGATGACGGGCCAGTGGGGGCCTGGAAGCCAGAGAACAGCTTGGGGGCTTTGGCCTTTGGGGGCTAAGCAGGAGGGGTATTAAAGAAAACTGTCTGTGTACTTTCACCAGCCCCAAAGGCAGCACGTACTACTGTCTCTTGCACTATTCTTTGAACCCTGGGATAGAGGCAATCAGGAGAGTGTCTCTTTCCCTAGAAAGGAGATGATATGGTCTGCCACACAAAAATCCCTGAGGAGAACCTGGTTTTCTTCTTTCCCCTGCTTCCAACAGGTATCATCCTTCCAAAGGTATCATCCCTTTTCCAACAACTACCCCTCCTCACCTAATACTTCCCTGTAGCAGGGTGGGTAACAACCTACATTCCAATGCTCTGTCTGCCTGTACTAGCCCTGTGACCTTGGACAAAGTGCTTATTCTTTCTAAGCTTTTAGGTTCTTCCTCTGCAATGAAGATAATAATCCTCTGTCATAGAATTATAATCAGCAATAGAAGTCATGTATGTAAAGTGCTTTGCAGAACACCAGGCACTTAGTAAGCATTCACTAAATGTTAGCTGTTATTATGACAGATTATGTCAGAGGCCATTTATTATTTCAGAATGTATTTTCATGGTTGGGCCCTGCCCTGGGAGTGGGGATGCAGCAGTGAACAAGCAAATCTTCCTGCTCCTCTTGGTGTTGGTTAAGTAACAATAACTCCATCTCTTATCAAGTAAATGTATAACTTGTCTTCAAAAATCTCTAAGAACACATATAATAAAAACAAATTCAGTTTTCAAAGTCTGAAGTTTCAAAGTTATAGAAATTCGTGGAACGGGTCATGTGGATTGGTAACACATGTACAGTGAATTCTCAATAAATGTTAATTCCTATTAACAAGATTAGGATATCATGATGATCTCTAGTATTTTATTGAAGAATGCCTTACTTCTCCAGTTATCTTGTAAATTCTTTAAGGATAGACTCTGTAGTACATTTTGTAAAACCTCTCAACACATATGACATACACTCCTACAAAGCAAGTACTAAGAGCTTCACAAGTATTTGCTTTATAAGTGCATGAATGAATGAATGAATGAATATCCAGCAAACACTGAAGTTTGCTGTTATCCTAATTATCCTTTCTCACCTACCCTAGCCCGAAACACACATAAACAAACATGTGTTCACAGTTATGCCAAAAAGGGTTTTTAAAAACCTTAACTGCAGAGTAGATATAATGTTGAAATAAAATTTAGCATACAAAATCAGCTTTTGCAAGAAGCTTTTACAGTATGCAACTGTCCTATATAATGAACAAAAACATCTTTTATTCTCCTGGTTCCCCTAAATCATTGTGTTATTATGACTCTTTAGATCAGAATTCTTACCTCTCAATCTTTTAAAAGCTTTTTATTCTCAGGATTCCTATAAATTCATATTCAACCTTTATTTACATAGAGCCAATTGGTCAAACTAAAAGAGAGACAGTAAATCCAAAACCAAATGAAAAATATGATGATTTCTTCACTAGTTTTAACTTTTCATTCTTGCTTTTAAACAAAAAATCATTAGTCAGGGTTTCTCAAAACAGTCTGGAGATGACCAAACATAGGAATAAAATGAGATGCAAAAAAAGAAATAAATCCAAGGGGAAGAAGTTATTAGGGACGAGGAAGGATAGACGGCCTTTTAGGACCTTGTTTTATTGGGATAAAACAGAAATGAACAGTAAAGTGACCTGGTCATATAAGGAGATCCTTGAATAGAGAATTCAGATGAAGGAATAGCGCTATCTTTATGCACAGTCACTTGGTCAGTATCTGTTTTCTTGTTGAGAAGGCTACTGTACCATTTTTCACTTTCTTGCTCTTAAATGGCCATGGGGCCTATTCAGGAGGGGTATTGTGAATACTTAGCTACAGCCAGAGTCACAAAGCCTGGCAGGTTTCTCCCTGAGAACTAGGGTCCCCAAGAATGACAGCCCACCCTCCCCAGGCAAGAAGCTGGTAACTGCACAAAGCCTTGCGGTCCATTGGTGGCCTTTGGTGGACATTTTAAAGGTGACAATCTCCCTGACACATCTTCCTGATTCAATTAGGCTATGCAAAAGTTTTAAAAATAAATAGAAATATACTAGAATATAAATGATGTTACCTAAATTCCTGACTGTAAGCATTACTCAGAGGATGTTATGGAGCTTGAAACACATGTATAGATAGATGCATGAGGTTGAAACCATCCTCATGAATTCTGAGTAGTAAACAGAATCCAGCCCTTTTCCCCACCTTTTGGTTTTTGGGATGTGGATGGGGAGGGAGAGTGTTGAAGGCAGTCACATTGGCACAGACTTATTTTATATAGATTCCCATAGATGTTGTTTCAGAATGTTTCCAAGCTTTATAACCTGAAGCCAGATATATTTTTACTTTGGAGGTAAATTTCATGAAAAATGTGTTCTTAACTTATTTCTTGAGTACATGATGAGCTCTCTACTGGGTGAAGGACTTCAGAGACACAGTTTTGGCACAATGTATGCATCGGGCAGTCACCGAAGTTCTTTTACCACCAGCTGAGCATCTATGAGTAAGTTATCACTTAACCACAAGGAGCATTAGTTGCCTCCTGAGTTTGATCTTCAACAGTGATTCTCAAACCTTGGTATGTACAGGAGTGTTTATTTAAAAATGAAGGTTTTAGCTGGGGTTGGTGGTGCATACCTGTATTCCCAACTACTCGGGAGGCTGAGGCAGGAGAATCGCTTGAACCCGGGAGCCAGAGGTTGCGGTGAGCCGAGATCGAGCCATTGCACTCCAGCCTGGGCAGCAAGAGCAAAACTCCCTCTCAAAAAATAAAATGAATGTAAAAAAACAAAAATGAAGATTTACGGACCACAGAGCCAAAGATTCTGACTCAGTAGGTATAGGAAGGATTCAGAAATCTACATCTTTAATAACACCCCACTGTGGACCACACTTTGAGAATCACTGTACTAATTGACTTGGAAGATCACTTCCAGCATTAGCATTCTAACATTCTGTGAATGTGTCCTTTCTTTAGGCAACCAATCTTGGATAGCCTGGCACTCCCTCGATGTTCGTCTGCCCTGTAGGAACAATGGTACACAGGGAGCAGTAGCGCCAACATCTACACTAGGCAGCATAGGAAAGACAATAGGGCTAACTAGGTTGTTGCTCCTTCACTGGGGTAAACACTAACATCCTTGTCTCTGATACCCAGGTGACAGGTGGAGTCTGGAATTTCAGCCGCGTTTGCTGCGATGTTTTTGTCACCCTGGATGTCATGATGTGTACAGCCAGCATCCTGAACCTCTGTGCCATCAGCATAGACAGGTAGGGCTGCAATTCCCCTTCCAGGTGGCCCAAAAGCTGGGGAAGTGGGGAGAGACAGATTTTGCACTTGAGGGTACTGGGGTCACCTCCAAGTAGAACTTGACACTGGAACATTTTCTTTCCTCTCTTTTTCTTTTAAAGTATGGTTTGCCGGTGAGAAGAAACCCCTGCGACAGGAGGGAAATAATGACCCTATAAGCTTTCCTGGCCTTTCTCCTCCTCCGGCTCCCTGAACAGGATTCTGGTTTTGCTTTTCCACCATCCTTTGGGGGCTTTTTGGCTTCCTAATAGGAAGGAAAGCGGGAGGGGGAGAAGAAGGAAAGGTGAGCCGACTGGGGTTGGTAGGAAATTCTGTAGTTGTTTTGTTTGGTTGGAGGTGAGAGATGGAGAGAAGGTGGGAGAGAGAAAGAGAAAGAAAGAGGGGCAGGTGTAGGGATAATTTTTGAGGGGGAGAGAGAAGAGAAGTGGGGGAGAAAGGCAACTTTAGAAAGCATGGCTGTGATCTATGTTTCTCTCATAGAGCTTAGAGAAGCAAGTAAAGAATAGTATGTTTTCTAATTACATTTTGGTTGCTGGGGTAAATTGCTGTGATTTTGACTCCTCTCTGTGTGTTCTGCCTGAGTAGCATTGCTTTCTATCCCTGAGAGCACCTGGACTCACCACCCTTGCTCTGGGTCCCTCTGTTTCTCCCTTCCGCCCTCTCCTTTTGTCTTCCTCTCTTCTTTCCCCTTTCCTCTGCCTGAGCCTTAGATTTACCTGGCTCCCCCTCCCCGCACCCCCTCCCAACATCACCAGCCTCAGTGAGAGCCCTGGGGTAAAGGAGGTCACTTTCAAGCCTATGGCCCTTGATGCCAGTCAAAAGCCGCCTCCCTTTCCTTCTCTGAGTTCTCTCTCTCCCACTTCCCCTTCCACCTCTTCTCCTTCTCCCAGTAATATCATCCATCCACCTCATAACTCCAACAGGTGACCCCAGATAAGATCTGCCATTCATTGAGAATTTATCACATTGTGCTAAGCTTTGACACACATTAGTTCATTTCATCTTCACAATTCTTAGGTACGGTTATTATCTTATGTATTATCTTAGGTACTGTTATTTTATGGTATAAACATTGGCTACCTTCAAACAGGGACCACTGAATTCAGCTGAATACTCTTTGTTCAAGACTTTGTAATGGGCACAGCAGGGAATGTCACAGGTGATTGGTCTTGTAGAAGAGTTTGGGGTGATGATAATGAAGCAAACCAGCTGCAGTCCTCTACTGCTGTAAATAATGTATTCCTGAAAATGTGCACTAAATGTCTAGAAATTATACAAAAGACTTAGATATTAGAGCTAAAAATATTGTAAAATCCCCAACTCTTCACTTTTTAAAACAGCTTTATGCAAATATAACTCACATACCACACAATTCATCCACTCAAAGTGTGTAATTCGATGTTATATTGTTATGTTTACAGATTTATGCAATCATATTCCTATAATTTTTTTTCAGAGATGAGGTCTTGCTATGTTGTCCAGGCTGGCCTCAAACTCCTGGACTCAAGCGATCCTCCCACCTTAGCCTCCCAAGTAGCCAGGATTACTGGCACACACTACTGCACCTGGACCCCTCTTTTTATTTTTATTTTATTTTATTTTATTTTATTTTATTTTATTTTATTTTATTTTTTGAGATAGAGTTTCACTTTTGTTCCCCAGGCTGGAGTGCAGTGGTGCGATCTCAGCTCACTGCAACCTCCACCTCCCGGGTCCAAGTGATTCTTCTGCCTCAGCCTCCCAAATAGCTGGGATTACAGGCATTGGCCACCATGCCTGGCTAATTTTGTATTTTTAGTAGAGATGGGGTTTCTCCATGTTGGTCAGGCTGGTCTCGAACTCCCGACCTCAGGTGATCCGCCCACCTCAAACTCCCAAAGTGCTGGGATTACAGGTGTGAGCCACTGTGCCTGGCCTACCCCTCTATTTTTAAACACACTCTTTAATGGTATTATTTTCAGCATTGTGGACATGTTCTTTAGCTTTCCTCTTGGTTGGCTAGCCAACCAAGTCATCTAAATAAAAAATAATCCAGTTAGCTGATTGGTTTGCAGGATCACCAGAGGAAAGGGTGTTCATATTCATGTTTTGATTATTTTTCAAAATTCCCATTTCAGCATGTAAAAGGAAATGTGAGGCTGTTGCTATAGAGGGCACAACACTGGGCCAATTGAGGGGGCCTGTGCTATGACCTCTAGAAAAGGCAGGCTGGAGATGCCACAACATAGTGACAGAGAAAGCATTATGAAGGTTCCAGGATGACTGAATCAGACTGTGGGAATGTGAAAGGGCTTTATGGAAAAGAGGATCATGCTTTGGAGCATGAGAAGGATATGGGGCAACCTGGGAAGAGATGAAATTGAAAAGGGGGATTGAGGCCTGGTGTGGTGGCTTACTCCTATAATCCCAGCAATTTGGGAGGCCGAAGCAGATGGCTCATTTGAGGTCAGGAGTTCGAGACCAGCCTGGTCAACGTGGTGAAAACCCATCTCTACTAAAAATGCAAAAATTAGCCGGACATGGTAGTAGGTGTCTGTAATTCCAGCTACTCAGGAGGCAGAGGCTGGAGAATCGCTTGAACCTAGGAGGTGGAGTTTGCAGTGAGCTGAGACTGTACCACCACACTCCAGCCTGGGCAACAGAGTGAGACTCTGACTTAAAACAACAAGAAAGAAAAGGAAGGAAGGAAGGAAGGAAGGAAGGAAGGAAGGAAGGAAGGAGGAAGGGGAAGGAAGGGAGGAAGGGAGGAAGGGAGGAAGGGAGGAAGGGAGGGAGGGAGGGAGGGAGGGAGGGAGGGAGGGAAAGAAAGAAAGAAAGAAAGAAAGAAAGAAAGAAAGAAAGAGAGAGAGAGAGAGAGAGAGAAAGAAAGAAAGAAAGAAAGAAAGAAAGAAAGAAAGAAAGAAAGAAAGAAAGAAAGAAAGAAAGAAAGAAAAAGAGAGGAAGGAAGGAGAAAGAGAGAGAGAGAAAGAAGGAAAGAAAGAAAGAGGAGAAGGAAAGAAAAGAAAAGAAGGAAGGAAGGAAAGAAAGAGAAAGAAAGAAAGAAAGAAAGAAAAAGAAAGAAAGAAAGAAAGAAAGAAAGAAAGAAAGAAAGAAAGAAAGAAAGAAAGAAAGAAAGAAGGAAAGAAAGTCAAGCAAGTCATATTGTGGAAAACATTGAATGCCAGGCAGTGGAGGTAATTCTAACTTTTATGCAATAGGCCAAGGAGGCACTGAGGAATTTTGAGTGGGGGAATGGCCACTGGGGCTTTAATTCTGGGGGAATAATTTTGATAGTGCTATGAAGGACCAGTTAGAAAGTGCAGCAGAACTTCAGGTAAGGGATCATAGGATCCTAAAATAAGTAGGAGGCAACAAGAAAGGAAAAGTAGGGGAAATTTTGGGGGAAAAAAAAAAAGGCAAAAGTAGGGTCTATAAACAAGAACCTCTTGAATATGAAAGATTAGGAAGAGAAAGGAGTCAAACAAAACACAAGATTCCAGGAGAAAGATGCTGTCAAGAAGAGATCACCATGTCAAGATGCTTTGACGCTTTAATGGTTTAATTTTTAACATCTGGCACAATAGGAACAAGTGGACTAGCCAGGAAGTAATGTGATCTGGAACTCAGGGGAGAAAGCAGGGAAGTAGTTGGAGATTTAGGGAGGTTAGCACAAAGCTTAAGATTATTAACTTGGAGTCAAATAAACATGAATTCTAATCCTGGCATGGCCCCCTACTAGTGGTGTGGCTTTGGCAAATTCCTTAAATACTCTAAGAAGTTGGAAATTGAAGATAATAACAGCACCAAAGAATTGTGAAGATGAAATGAGTTAATGTGTGTCAAAGCTTAGCACAATGTGATAAATTCTCAATAAATGGCAGATCTTCTTTGGGGTCACCTGTTGGAGCTATGAGGTGGATGGATGATATTATTGGGAGAAGGAGAAGAGGCAGAAGGGGAAGTGGGAGAGAGAGAACTCAGAGGAGGAAAGGGAGGAGGCTTTTGACTTTCGGGAGGAGGCTTTCAGAAAGGACATGAGAGAACGGGAGAGGGTTCGCTTTGTGAGGAGGGAGAACTGTGTAAAGAGAGTCCCCTCAGCCCTCCTAGTTCCTGAGCCTCCTCTCTTCCCTCTTGAGAACGTGCCTATACTCTCCATCCACACATATTCACACGCACTTAGGGCTGTGGGTGACGTTGTGCAGGTTGTGCCCTGCACAAGGGTGTAGGAATGAAATTCAGCCATCACTCCCTTTTCCAAACCTAGAGTTGGCCAGAAGAGGGTGCCTTTCTACAATTTGCCAGCCAGGAGAGGGTGTCTTTCTCTAATTTGCACAAGAGCACCATTTTGCTGGCAGCAGCCATGCTTAACGCACACTTCTAGTTCTTACTACTTAAAACGCAACCAACAAGAGTAACTTTGAGTTGGCATCTGTCCCATATAGGAAAACTCTGAGAATACACAACACCTACCTACCTGAAGGAACCAGCCATGTCTTAGATCCCAAGCGAAAAGGAAACTCCCTTCTTGGCTCATATTTCTATATGGGCCAATGAATTCTCACCGAACCTCAAAATGGAGCCCCCTCCTATTCTAGAAATGAAAACAGGCCTTGGAAAAGCTGGGTTCATTATGCTTCACAGCAGTTTGTAGTACATAGCATTACATTCTGTTCATGTGATGACAAATAGCTGGTCAATTCATTAAAAATGCAGTCATTCACGCAGACCTTTGGTCTTCACACAATGCCAGTCACCAATCTGACAAACTTAACCAAATGGATTCACTATTTCTTGGTCATGAAGCCCTGGTCTATAATAATGCTGTGGAAAGAGATAGGAAAGAAAAGGAAATGATAAAAGGGTTTTTGAAAGCAAGTAATACTATTGTCATTAGATTCGTAGGCATAGCTCTGATGCTTGGATTAATGCTGCCTTTTCTTTTTTAAAAAGCAGAGTGGGAAGTCCTCTGAGCACAAGCCCC